AATAACCCAAAATTAATCGGATTATTTAAATACGTATCATATGACTATCACTTTTGTTATCACCAAATTTCAATAATCACAGCACTCCTACTGGAAATTTCCGCCCATATGAATAAACTATCAATTTTGCCAAATAACCAAAATAAACTTTTTTTGGCCAAATAACCGAGATATTTAGAAGCCCGATCATAGTAATCTGACGGATAACGAATTTTATGATAACATAAGTAAAGAATTTTATGATAATAATCAAATCAACACATCAGTATATTTTGTGGCAACTGCAACTTGAGAACATTTATCAGCGATATATTCTCCAAAAAGGCGTTCGCTCTTTTTTTTTTTTGCATACAAACAAAAGAATTAGTTAGCATATATATTATTTGCTTAATAATTAATACGTGCTTATTATTATCCATTAACATATGCTATTCACCTCTCCAAAATTATATACACTTGCAGTATCTAGAGATGGAAAATTTCATGTAAATTTGATATCAGTAAAATAATATTTAAACTACCCCAGTATTTCTGTCTGTTAAAAAATCAAAGTATGCGTAAGAAAGTTATTTTGCATACTAACAAAAAGTTTTCTCGAACTAATCCTAAATAATTTTTACTTATCACGTGATACCGATACTGAGGAGGATAATCTAATACTGTGACGTCCAGTGGGAGAGTCTTTCCAATATCACTATCAATTTAACTCAGGGTCGTCAACATTAAAGCGAAGAGGCAAGTATTTAATATCTCTTTCCAGGTATCCAAAGAACTAAACCAATATCTTTTATTGTCCCAGACACTAACAGTACGAATATCTCTATTTCCACTAACCAACCTAGTACGTTCCCAACGCACTAAAATCCAACACAAAATACAAAACTAAGAACTGACTAAAACTCTCTCTAAAATCCTCTAATTAACTAACTAACTAACGTTCTATATGTCTCTATTTATACATACAATTAGACTACAAATTAATTATAGACTATTTACAAGTATGTTGTATAACGATATAAAAGTCTAATTAAAGTATGCGTTACGACTATTAACTTTGCATAGACTATTATAAAGTTACACTACAAAGTACATGTTACACAAGCGAAAGTTTAATTTTGAAACTTGGTTGCGTAACAATACTCAAGAACTATATGTATATACGTACCGATGAAATTTCCGTCTTTTTCAAAATAATAATTGAAAATTTTTTAGTCCTCAAAACTCGCGCTGATTTTCTATTAAAGAATTTTTTGTATTTACTAAGATATTGATTTATATGTATCATGTGATCATAGTATATTAGAAATAGGAAAAATTCTTACCATTTGTTCTCCAAGGTCTTGAAACAAAGCAATTAAAAAAATTAACTAATAAAAAAATGATAACAGAAATTAAAAGTGCATCCATAGCATCAAGGCACAGAGGGGAAACCCTCAATCCACTACGTCCTAAAAGAACATATTCATCAAGGGTACTAAGGGTTTCTTTAATGCATGTTGAGTCTTGAGCCATTCTGTATTATTCTTTTCAATAGAACTGCTGTAATTAAAAGGAATGATATAAGTTATATAACTGAAAATTTTCTTCCTAGAATGTACGCATGTACGCAACAATGTTGTATCTCAAGTTTTTCCGAACAGAAAATTTTCTGCGGTGGTTTTTATTTTTAAAAATAAATATTACCGCAGAAAATCTTGCAACTAATGGAGAAACTTCTATACTACCCAAGTCGAATTTAGCACAGTGCAGCAGACGCAAACTTAAGGATAGGACTACCAGGCGTCGTAGACTGTTTAGTGACTTTTCGTTTGTGAGTCGTACAAGTAGACTTTTATATTGTGAAGTTAACAATAGTGTATGCGTAAATGGGGTGTGCGATCAAATATAGTGAGGCACTGCAGGAAATCTACAAAACCCACAATCAATTTATATAGAATAAAGATCAACTAACTCATGGGAAATGATCTAAATATACCATTCTTAATAACAGCTTATTTCAATATGCATATAATAGCTACTTTAAGTACAGATTATTATTCTTTGGCATATTATCTCTATGCAAAGAGATTTAGTCAATGTATTTAGATTAATAATTTATGAAATTTATTTTCAATATATCACTAGCTTATGCATTATTTCTATATAGGGAGATTTAGGTTTTTAAATTTCTTGCATCGTATGTGAATAATTAACTTATTTATAGCTTACAGATTTTCCTAGTAAAATACGCTGTTTTTGGATTACTACTCCTCCGTTATTTTTTGATAATATAAAGGAGTGCACCAAATTATAAACTTCAATTTTAAATATAAAATATATATTAAATCAATATTAGAAGCATATAAAATGATAGAAAATGCTCTGTAGTATAATGTTTCAGAGAGATATTTAGTATACAAAAGACCGACAATGCAGAAAACTAATTTACAGACGGCGAAAATTTCTGATTTAAAGATATTTTTATTCTATTACTGCTCTAAAAAAATTATATAAAACAAACCATTCTCTCTGTATTAGAATTTTACACCTAGCTTACAATAAATATATCCAAGTCTTTCTATAAATAATATCGTTTTCAGAAGTCTTAAAAATTTAAAGATTGAAATTATATTGTGGTATGCGATGTAATTTATACAGTGTAATCTAAAATTAATCAATTGATTATTCCAATAGCGATAGTAGAAAAATTGATCTTGACGTTTGCTAATCATATGATATCGCACATTCCAATGCGTTAAAGGTGCGTATCGACTCTATATTTAGGTCTCTGGAAATGGAGGGCAAAATTGTAGGCACGAATTTGGACAATACAAGTTGTAAACACACGATATCTCGAGCTTTAAGGTTATCTTGGGCTTTTATTTATAGGGAACGCATGTAACAGCTATTATTTATTCTAATTTTTGTATTATAAGCAAAGCAGAAAGAATTTTTTATATACTATTACATGCGCCATATTTATACATTTTTTTAACTTTAGGAGTTTCAAACCCAAATCTGGGCCTCGATCCCTTTAAAATTTTTTTAAACTTCGAACGATGATATCTCGACAACCACTAGACCGAATTCGAAATACTTTTTTTATTTGAATTCTACAGATTTATATAAATTACAAGTTCAATTATCCGGTCCCAATCTCGGTCCCCATTTACTCCTTTATCTATTCCGCAAGAACTAAAGAAGATACCGCTCAAGGATTTCGTTCTAATGGTTTCAATTTTAACTTTACTAACTTTTAAGTCAAAATTTTTCTTAGCCATTGAAAAGCTTTTTTTTAAATGTAAAAAATATTGCTGTAATAACTACCCGGGTTGTTATTAAAGGGTAATATCCTGGCTGAGCTTTAAAACTATAATAATGCTTCGCTGTTATATTAATGCACATAATAAAAAAATCGGGGTATTTGTATTAGAATTAAGGGTTAATATTAAAATAGACATATAGATATATAATTGGCTTTATAACATTTTTTGTTAATGTTCCAAGAAAGATTTATATTACTATTTTATTTTTATTGCATTTTCTTTATTTTTTTAACCTCTTCAGGCTGATCTATATATATTAACAGCCAAAATTTAAAAATATATTAGATATTTTGGCTAATTTGTAACTTTAATTCTAATAAACTAAAAATCTTTCTGTAATAATATAATATAAAGCTTAAATAATTAATTTACAAAGAATTTTTTAGGAAACGCCTATTTCCACCATGGTAATTTGTTATTTCCGCCATGCCTTTCATATGGCTTTTAGCTACATAAATATGATGAACATATTAATATCATAATAAATCATGTAAATGGGAAATAGTAAATTTTCATGGTGAGCTTTCGAGAATGACACGAAACTATTTGATCGCACACAAGCGCACCAAGTGAAGAAAATGTTTTCGAAGCCAAAAAATGTAATCGACCAATACGTAATCGATTATCTGAAGAGCTTAAAGGCATGTTATGATTCTGGTTAATAAAATGAGTATAATTAATTGTGCAGGACAATAAGAATGATAGAAGCAATAAACTTTATAATGTGATAGTAGGCTTTACTGATTTCTCGCGCAAACATAATTATCATAATTATTAGTACTGTAGTACATTTGTATGAACTGAGTTCTAGAATCAGTTTTATACATATGCTTTAAAACAGTGTTCCAACGAGTTTTTAAGCACAAATTAACCTGTTGGTGCAGGATATTTTAATGTTTAGGATCATTATCGAGTTCTACTAGTCTGTAGAATTTGAAATATCAAAAATAAACAGGACATTAGTGAGATAGTTGTACTTTCATCTATAAGTTTGTAAAAATTAAAAAAAAATCTATTTTTCCTAACTACTTGATCTAATGTAGTATATATGTTAAGGACTCTTAGGAATTTTTATTTTTAAGTGGCAATTCAGAAATAATAACAATATATTATAATGAATTTAAAAATTTTAAACATCGTTAAGTGGTTAAAATAATTTGAAAACATTGATAACTTTCTACTAATCATCGATTGCAATCACGTTGTATGAATGACAATTAGTTAATATATATAATAGTTGGCAACTAGTTGATTTCGTTTTTTGAAATTTTTTTATTAAATCGATTAGTAGGAAAGTTATCAATTAGTTGATTTTTCAACTAACAGTTAGGATTACTACGGCGGGCCAACAATGGTTGTAATTCAATTCTTACTGAACGATTGCAATGATAATGGAAATTATTCAGATGAAAGAAGTTAGAATTTGATCTTACGAGAGAATTAAAAATTATCTTATACAAATTTTAAGTTTTACTATTATAACAATAAGTAATCTGAGAACGCACATACATGGGGTGCTTTATGCCTCTCTAATAATGATCTTTGGACAATAAAGAATTAAATAGGTTCATCCTGTAAAGTACTATTAAGCCGATTATACCTATTTTTGAAAACGATAATAGCAATTATCGCCAATAATATAAGTCCTACAATTCCAATTGCGATTCCGATAATTGCACCAATGCTCATATTATTTGTATTAATTATCGTCATTATTGTTGTAGTTGGTTTAGTAGGATCATATGGTGCAGTTGATATGGGTTGAAGAGTTTTATTAGAATCATACGACGTAACCCATCTATAATTATCAACGCGGCTTACATCAAGAAGAAAAATATCAGAAGAAGAAGTATGACCACTAGTAGTAATATTTTCAACATACAAATATCCTAGATTAGAATAAAATAATATATTTTTTATAAACCAGCAATTAATATTAAATCGATTAATATATGGGGTGAGTCAATAGAAATCAAGCAAATTTTTTATAATAAAATTTTATAAAACTTAAAACCAAAATAACAATAAAACTTGAACAAATTTAATAAAAAAATTTTCTAATTAATTTAAAAAAATTTTATCAAATTTAATTAAGTTTTTGTTAAGTTATTAATGTTCAAAGTTTTAAAAAAAATTTATTATAGAACATTATTTGCTTGTTTTCTATTAGCTCACCTCCATAATTTAATTTTTAAGAACTGATTCATTAATACTAACTAAATATCTTTATATAAGTCAATATAATATAAAACGAATATATACATTATACATAGCACCGATTAATGTAGAATTATGCCATCTCAAAATTTGTTGAGAGCCACCGGTATTTGAAATATTAGGAATCAACCAAACGAATGTCAAAGTATCAAGTGCAATAGGTGAAATATCAGAAATATCTTGTTGACCATAAAACAATAAAATCCGATTATGCTGATCTATAATTATAATATGGCAAACATTGAATCAGTGACATAAAGTTAGTTTTAACAAATTGCATAATTTACTCTAATACATACAAATAAAGACTGATACAAATTGCATAATTTAAGCTAGAACATACAAATAAAGACTGATGAATGACCACATCGCTCAAGAGGAATTTGACCAGATGTTTGCTACAAGTTACATTGTATTATAAATAAATACTTATAATTTTTTTAAATAAACGCATATAAAACAAATCATTACTTACAATACTGCTCCAAGTATTATTATTTATATGGTATAGTGGTAACTATATTATATATTTAAGGTTGTATTTAATTAATAATAAATATAAATTTAAAACTTACATCTTTCATTAAATTAGATGATTTGCTTGGAGTTTATTTGTACCTCCAATATATAAAATTAAATCATTTAACAATGTAGCACTATAACCTTGAGTTTTGCTGGACGATATCGTATATGATAATATAGACCATGATAAATTTAATGTATTTAATTTATTCATGGCGCTTATAGATGTATTACCACCATAAATATATATTTCATTTCCTAAGCTAACACAAGGAACATATTTTAAACTGCCTGATAAAGGTATCGGTCCTGAAATACTTGGTATACTCCATTGCTGTATAGTGGTATCAAATTTGGTAATAGCATTTACAGAATAATCCCCACCAATAAAAAAAATTGAAGCTTTAAACATATCAATGCAAGCTGGCGCTCCGGTTCTGTTTATTGCTCCTATAATTGAAGA